GTAGCTGGGTAACATTTATATAGAGCCTTGAAGGCAATCATAGGGATTTGGGTTTTTCCTTTGCAACGAGGGGTTTTTCAGAGGGAAATAGTATGATCCAGCTTACAGTTTTACTCTGTCTGCTCTGTGGAGGATAGATTGCAATGAAGGCAGTCCAGGTGAAGTGAGGAGGCTTTTGCAAATATCTAAGAGAGGCTTAATGGTGGCTTGAACTCAGATAGAGTTTGTGAGATGTAGCCAGATTCTGGGAATATTTTGAAGGTAGAGCTGACAGCCTTTGCTAATAGATTGTGTGTGTGTGTGTGTGTGTGTGTGTGTGTGTGTGTGTGTGTAAAGAGAGAGAGAGAGAGAGGGAGGGAGGGAAAGAGAGAGAGAGAGGGACAGTGATGGTTTAAGTCCTCAGTCTGAGCAATTGGAAGAATGAAGGTGCCATTTTCTGAGATGAGGTAGATTCAGGGAGGTACAGGTTTTGGGAAGGGTGGGGAACCAGGGGTTTGAATTTGGATGTATAAAGTTTGAGGCATCCTTTAAGCTGGCTGTCCAGTAGGAAGTTGGTCATATGAGTCTGAGTTCAAGGACTGCGGCCATCCTGTGTGAAGACATAAATTTGGGAGTGGTCATTCTATAGATATTTAAAGATATGAGACTAGACGTGATTACATATACAGTAGCTGTAAATAAAGGAGAAGAGCCCTGAGCCCTGGGGCACACCACTATTTAGAGACCAAGGGGGTGAAGAGAAACCAGCAAAGGACAATGAAGAGAAATCAGTGACGCAGGAGAACCAAGGGCAACTAGCATGCTGGGAGCTGAGGGAGAGAGTGTTTCTGAAGAATGGAGTGATTACCTTGTCAAATAAGAAGAGAGCTGAAAGTTGGCTCTTGAATTTGGAAATGCAGATGTCTCTGGTGGTCTCGCCAAGGTGAGTTTCTATATGGGGGAGGAAGGGAGGAAAGAGGAGGAGAGGACAGGTGACAAGTATAGAAGATGCTTTGGGGGAGTTTTGCTGTAAAGGAAGACAGGAAAAAGGGGCCGTAGTTGAAAGAGGAGATGGGACTGAGGAAGGAGTTATTACTATACGTAACAAGTAAATATATAGAGAGAAACCTTGCATTTAGATAAAGAGCTTGAATTTATTTTGATTGACAATGAAGTCTAAAATTTCATATAGTGAAAAGTCTTCAATAGGCTTGGTAATCTTAGCAATAGCATTTATATTTGAAGAAGATTTAGTTAAATATGAATTGGTCTGTGCAAGATGGATAATTTTAAAGGTTGTTTCTTTGGTTTACATTGGAGCTGCAATTTCAGTTAACCCTTTCCAATGAGAGTCCCCCCAAAAGGATATTTACTTAGCAGTGATAGAAAGTTCTATATTTACAGAGTACTTATCAGTCTCTGCATCAGAACAAACAAAAGAGTGAAAATTTATGTTAGAAATGTAAGAGGGAATTAAAGTGAAATGGTCTTAAATCAGGGAAACTGAGCCTCAGGCCATATGTGGGCCATGGGATCTGAAGGTGAAACTCACTTGCAACCCTCCACAGCACTAATTTCAGCCTCTTGGGCTGCTTGACTCTTTCTGCTTCCTTGTCATTGTTTTTATTGCTTTCTATGTTGAAACATTTATTTTGAACTGCTTCCAGTTTTCCAACATCAAAAATCATTCAGATCAGAAGAGTCGTATTAGTTCTCCAGGACTCCTGGCTCTCCAGAGTCTTTTGCCTGTGCCCTGTGTTCACCAACCTACTTCCCTTTTCCTGCTGGGAGACCTGCTAGGCTGCATTTCCCAGGCTCCCCTGCAGCTGGGCAGGGCCAAAGCAATGAGAATGAGAGAAATAGAGCCACTTGCAGCCTGCAGCCTGGCCCTTAAGATAATCCTTACACCATCTTCCATGCTCTCTCTCTTCCTTCGTCTGCCAGCTGGAGGAGGGAGATGCATGGGAAGAGCCTGGCTCTGAGTTGTGGAGCAGAGCATCACCCCTGAACAGGTGTGCACTGTGGCCTGAGCAAGAAATGAGCTTTTGTATGTGGAACCTTTGAGACTTTGGAATTGTTTATTATAGTAGTGAGCCTGTCATTAATACATATTCCTTTGGTTGAGATGTGATAAGTATTGACTTTGCATTCAGACTTAGCAGGTCCAGAGGGTAGGGGTGGGGAGGACACATGGTTTAATTTGAAAGCACTATGTCCTGGGTTTTTGAAAGGCAAGGACTTTGTCTTTGGGCTTATTTAGGCATTGTTGGCATGAACAGGACCACACTGGGAGGCAAACAACTCTTTTAAAATAGCCTTTCTGTAGTCTTCCAGGACCTTTTCCCTCTAAGAACTTAAGCCACTTTTAGGGCCTTAAAGCTCTCATGGAGTTTAAGTGGAAAGAGAAACACATTATTGGGCAACTATCCTGTGTCAGGCATTTTTTCCTTACATCATAGTATTTAATTTTTTTACAAGAATCCAATGAGGTAGTAATAATTAACCTCAGTTTACAGATGTTTACAGTCATTATTCTTTTCGATACCCGGTTTGTCACAAATTTGGTGAGTGGAACTCCTTCCAGTTAGCAATTAAGTAATTTTGACAACTCCTGTCTCCCCTTTAATCTTCAGTTATTTCCTTACTTTCCAATACAACAAACTGACTCTTTGAGAATGTTCCTTTACACTTGAGGAGAATGTATATTCTGCTGCTTTGGGATAAAATGTTCTGTAAATATTGATTAAGTCCATCTGATCTAGTGTGTTGATTAGGGTTGCTGTTTTCTTGTTGATTTTTGTCAGGAAGATCTATCCAGCGATGACAGTGGGGTGTTAAAATCCCCTACTATGACTGTATTGCTGTCAATCTCTCCCTTAAAGTCCACCAAGAGTTTCTTTATATATTTAGGTGCTCCTATATTGGCTGCATATATGTTTTTCAGGGTTATATCCTCTTGTTGGAGTGATCCCTTTAGTTATTATGTAGTGACATTTTTTTGCCTGTTGTTATGGCCTTTGTTTTGAAGTCTATTTTGTCAGGATTGCTACCCCAGCTTTCTTTTCTATTTGTATGGAATATTTTTTTCCATCCTTTCACTTTCAGCCTTTGTGACTCTTTTGTTCTGAGGTGGGTCTCTTGTAGACACATATATTTGGGTCATGTTTTCTTAACCATTCAGCTACCCCGTGTCTTTTGATTGGAGCATTTAATCCACTTACATTTAAGGCTGTTATTGATAGGTACTTATTTATTACCATTTCTTTCTTTATACTTATGTCGAAGTCTGGAGTAAACTCCCAGGCTGGTGCTAATAATAGGGGTGCTCTTTCCCTGGGATGGTGCTCCCCAAATCTCTCAGGTGGACAGAATCCCCTCTGATTCCCACTGCCAGATGCTACGAGGACTCCTTCCTATCTCTGTTTCTCTGGGTTATGGATCCCTGCATGAGGTTGAGGCCCCAGGCTCCTAGGGGGGAGGGAGCTGCGCAGTTGCGATATCCCTGGCTTCTCAGCCACCACTGCACCTGTGTAAGGGGGCTTTCCCTCTCCGCACCTCTGCTCTTCTTACCAGTCTCTATGTGGCTTCTTCTGTACTCCTTGGCTATAACATTTCAGAGCAGCTGTCTTTCCATGGGTTTTTCAAGTTGATTGCTCTGTAATTTAGCTGTAAATTCAGTTTAAGGCTGGGAGCAAGTGGGTGCAGCTTCCAGCTACTCTGCAGCCATCTTGGACCTCCTGTCATGATAATTCTAAAGAATGTCTTTAATTTTTAGTTGGGTAGTCAGGATATGTACTTTCCTGTTTGCTTTGCAATTTATTTGCAAATACAAAATAAATATTTGCAATGGTCGAAATACATTGTTGGTTTTGCCCAGTTCAAAGGTTATTTTGCCCAGTTCAAATATCCCAAAGGTTTGAGGAGTAGGATGTGCAAGCAGTTCTCCTGAAATGGCTGCACTAGCTCTACTTTATTTTGTTTATTTTATTTATTAAATATGTTTTATTGATTTTAGAGAGAGAGGAAGGGAGAGGGAGAGAGAAATAGACACATTGGCTGACTGCCTCCTGCACACCCCCTACTGAGGATCGAGCCTACACCCAGGCATGTGCCCTGACCGGGGCCTTCTTGGTGCGTGGGTTGATGCTCAGCCAACTGAACCACACCAGCCAGGGCTACCCTAGCTCTATGGCTCCACTATGTCAACTTTTCACAGTTCCTTTTTATAATTTCTGTCTCTTCATTGATATTCTCTATTTGATGAGACATTATTTTTTACTTTCCTTTAGTTAGGCACTATATGGGTATTTACTTGATAGGTATTCATTAAACTATTCCTATAGGTTTATGAGCTTTCCTGTTATATTGTACCATTGAGAAGAAAAATTATAAAGAGAGTATAATTCGAGGCATAGAATTTAGCATATGCCTTTGGCAGTATTTTATTTTGAGGTTATTTTTTTAAGCTCTTCTTCCTAGATTTCTCTATATTCGTAATTCTGAACATTTAGAGAAGTTTCTACTTTCTCAAGGGATTCTGTAGCCACTTTATAGGGAATGCTACAGCACCAGTAATTAAGTCATCTAAGAGAGCCATAATGGAATGCCACATAGTCAAGTGGCTGCTATCAAAATGCCACTCCACTGGCAGATGGGCTGAGCTAGGCTTTACCTTTCTTCCCCTATCATCTGGATCTCACTTCCTGATAGATAGAAAGCATCAGTATCCAATCCTGGGCTCCTAGGATTGAATTTACTAACTACTGTATGGGCATGACATTTACCTTTCAAGACTGTTGTAAGAATAAAATGATAGTGACTGAGGTGGATTTTAATGAAACTAGAAAATAATATCATAAATGCTTGTTTTAGAGCCAGATAATGTTCTTTCATTGCACAGATTTAAGGGAAAATGGTTTTTAAAAAGGGGTTTGATATAATTATCTGTTTGAAACAGTTTCCCTTGTTGATATATGTATTTGTAACCCTGGATCCTGACCTTTCTCCACCATATACCCCAGGACATTTGTTTACTCAGTCCTCACCAGAGGGAGGCCTTTCCCAACTGTGGTACTTTTCAAAGGCTTTGTCTTCTGCATGGGAAACGGATTCCTGCAAGGCTACTATTTGACTTACTGTGCTGAATACCCTGCTGAGTGGTACACAGACATACGGTTTATCCTGGGTAAGTAAATCTGACCACTCTCCACCCAACACTGCTCCCTGCAGTCCAAATCACTGGCACCTCTTTGCACCCTATTACAGGGACCTCTCAGTGATTCCATTTTCTGTTCTCTCGCCCCACCCTCATCTTTTCTCTATATAGCAGCCTGAGAGAGCTTTGAAAAACATCGTGTCATTCCTTATCTCAAAACTCTCCAGTCGATTTCAGGATGAAATGCAAATTCCTTGCCACTGCCTATGAAACCCATGTGTCCTGGGTTCAGCTCAGTTTTCTGACCTCATTTCCTACCTCCATCCACCTCATTCATTGTGCTGTGGTCCCAGAGGCCTTCCTGCTGAGCCTTAAATGGTCAAGCATGTCCTGCTCCAGAGTGTTTTTGTATAGACCACTCCCTCTGCCTAGAATACTCTGACCCTATATATTCACGGAGCTTGGCCCCTCACTATATTTAGGTCTTTATCAATTCACACTTTCTCTAATAGACTTTTCCTGCCCAGCTACATGTATATATAAAATAATAGAAAATGCTGATCATTGAATTTGTTTCATTATCTGCAAGAGGAACTAAAGTCCAGGAAGCTTCAACTCTTTATATGTTATTTTGGCTCAGACCAAAAATCTAGGGATTGTCCTCAATTCCTCTCTTTACATCACAAATCACACTCTCTCCATCAGCTTGGTACTGCTGCCTGTAACTCCAAAACGTGCCAGTGGGGCCTACTTCTCCCTAACTGCACTAAGTTCACCCTCGTCCAAGCCACAGTGACCTCTTGCCTGGACTGTCACATTGCCCTTCAAACTAAACTGGCCTTCAGTAACCCCTTCTCTATGCAGCAGCCAGAGTGAACATTTGGAAACACAAACAACCAGAGGATTAGTTGTATGAATGCTGAAACATGTGCACAGTGGAATATGCTGATTCCACAAAAACAAAGGAAAAAAACAAAAACAAGAAAGATCTATGTGTGCTCATGTGGAGACAGCTCATGTAAGATACAGCCCTTTTTTGGCTGTATCTTAGTACCATTTTTAGAATTCAAAATTAAATGCCCTTCCCTTCCTTTTTAGAAAACCCCCAAAAACGTAGCTTGTGAGAGAAACATCAAAATCAGGATACGTTTTTCACTTCCCTCTCTCTTGTTTGCCTAGGTGTCTTCTTATTTATTTTGGGGATGGGAATCAACATTCACAGTGACTATATATTGCGCCAGCTCAGGAAGCCTGGAGAAGTCACCTATAAGATTCCACAAGGTAATGTCTCCCCTGCCCTCCAGATTCCCAGTCTCCCTTGGGAGCCTGTCCCAGGAATTATGCTGTAACAAATGGAGAGGGTGTGATGAGGGCACAAATGACACAATATACCTTGATCTGGGGTCTATCTGGGGACTTCTCCTCTACATCCCACCCCACCCCACCCACAACATATTTGCATTTCTGATCTGAACCCTGAAGTTCAAGAGAGGTAAAGGGTTCTCAGAAGGTACAAGATCACAATGCCCTGAAGATGGGGGGCAGTGTGAGGCTTGGTGTGGGGTAGCGGGAAGGCTGCCACCTTGTTGAAGTTGGTGAGATTATCATGTGCTGTATTAGGGTTCTTCAGAGACACAGAACCAATAAGATATAGATATATGGCTTAGATGAGTATGGAGCCAGAAGTCCTACGATCTGCCATCTGCAAGCTGGAGACCCAGGAGAGCAGGTGGTATAAGTTCCAGTCGGAGTGCAGGGGAAGACCGATGTCCCAGCTCAAAGGCAGACAGAGTGACTTCTTCTTTACTCACCTTGTTGTTCTATTCAGGCCTGCAGTGAAATGGACGAGGCCCATCCACCTGGGGAGGACAATCTGCTTCATTGAGTCCATCAATTCGAATATTAATCTCATACAAAACACCTTCATGGACATACGCAGAAATAATGTTCTACCAGCTATCTGGGTACTCCGTGGCCCATTCAGGTTGACACAAGAAACGAACCATCATATATACAGTGTTGATAATTCCTAGGTGGCAAATAAAGCTGAGTCCTGCACGGCCAGCAAATGTGTCCTCTCCAGCGAGTTAAGTCTCACTAGGTTTATCTAATGGGTATTCAGGGGTAGCACTTGCATGTTCCTGCCGCTTATATATTCTCAAAGGTGTAGAGAACCATATTTACTTAAGCAAACATCAGGATGAGGTGTCTTACAAGTGCATTTTCAGAGATAAATCCCAATTGCTCCCGAGAAACCAGGCTGTGAGCTGACAAATATTAGCAGGTGGCAGTGAATCAGTCATGTAACCCTTCAGTATTTTTAGATAAGTATTTGTGTGGGTTAGTGGTTCCCATTATTTTTTATGTAAATGGGAACCCTTTACATTAAAAAGTTTACTGAATTATGACATGGTGGTACTGCAGATTAATATTCATTAAGAAAATAATGACAGCACTACTATGAATTCAGTACCACATTTAAATAAATATGTGTTGCTAACATCCTAACAGTATATACATCAAATAAAAATAATACCATAGATTGAGACATACCATTTGCTATACTTATAGGCAATTTATGGACTCCTTGCAATAGGTTAGTGGTTCCTCCCAGGGTCTGGGGAATCACAGGTTAGAAACTGCTGATGCAGTGCCATCCTTAAGGAAGGTAACTTTAAGGGGTTTCGATTTTTAAATCTTTGCTTAGTAACTAGACAAAGAAGAGAAGAGAAAGCTCTTAAAAGCTAGAGTGGCCCTAGCTGGTTTGGCTCAGTGGTTGGAACATCGGCCCTCTGACTGAAGGGTCCAGGTTTGATTCTAGCCAGGGACATGTGCCTCAGTTCAGTCAGGGTGCAACTGATCAATGTGTCTCTCACATCGATGTTTCTCCCCTTCCCAAAAAACAGTGGAAAAAATATCCTCAGTGAGGATTTTAAAAAAAAGCTAGATTGCTGAGGTTAGTTTCCAAAAATTTAATTATATTAGAGGATGATTTATAAACAAACATTCTTTATGTAACCATGGAAAGAAAATATTTGTTTTAGGTGACACATTGCCAGTTTAGTGTGGGGCGGAATTTCGAGTGCAGATACATTTACTATGACTAGAAATGTGGTGATTTCTAATACAGTTCTGATATCAGAATACATGGTTGGATAAAAAGTAAACCTTAAAAAAATCAATTGCATCAGACCTCACTAACCTCCAGGAGATCAAAAACCTGCAGCTCCTACTCCGCCTTTAAAATTGAACAGAGTGTACTGCTTTAGGAGGGCACGTGCCTCAGGAGAATCAAATTACTTCTCACACCAATATTGCTATTTTCACCTCGTTTGTTGTTTTGCCCTGTGTGACTGAGCCTGTAATATTCTGACCAGCAGTGTGGGTGTGCAGGGAAAGAGTGTGAAGGCGAGAGGTGGCCTGGAAGCGCTACTTAATAGAACGAAGCAAAACCTAGACCCCCTGTTTCTTCTCCTGGCCCGTGGAGAGCCAGGGGTCCCGCAGTTGTTAGAGACCTGGATGGAGTTGGGGCCACTCCCCACGGTGGCAGGATGTTCTGATGACAACAGGCTGCCATGGCTTTGTTTTCCTTTCTCCCCAAGTGGATTCCAGCAAACTGAGATGACTGGGAAGAGAGTGCCCAGCCCCACATTTGTTCCAGCTACTCTTATGCATTTTGGAACGAAGCAGAGGGGTTTTAATGTCGTGGTGATGCACTCTGATGATTGATTCTTCTGCACGCAGGCGGCTTGTTCACGTATGTTTCTGGAGCCAATTTCCTTGGTGAGATCATTGAATGGATGGGCTATGCGCTGGCCACCTGGTCCCTCCCAGCACTTGCATTTGCATTTTTCACACTTTGTTTCCTTGGGCTACGAGCTTTTCACCACCACAGGTAAACTCTTCAATCCAGGTGGCAGTATCCACATAGCTCTCCACTCCAAACAGGCTTTTAGTACACCGGGTTAGATGTAGAAACCTAGGACGTTTATCTTTATCACGTAAGGTTGATGATGTAATCTGTACTGGGGAATTCTGAATTCTTGGGCTTTCACTGAAGTTGGAATTTAGCCGGGCCACAGTAGCAGTAACACCTTTTTTCCTATGAGCAAAACTGAACCCATGTAGACAAAGGCACTCTGGGTGACTTGGGAAGCCACGATGTTGCCTTGTTGAAGAGGCTTCCCAGAGAAAAGTGCCCAGTGTCCGCATGAGTTGGCTGACTCAGGCTCTGTGCCCTTCTAGCCGGCTTAGTTGGTGATGGCTACTGGTTGGTAAAAGTCAAGAGGTAAGAGAAATAGCTTCCATTTCCGTGCTTTAATTCAGTTCACTTCCACCACATTTCTCAAAGTATGTTCCTTGGGTGGGACTGCACTCAGCACTTTCTAAAGCTTCGCAGATAATTCTGAGGTACACCTGGGATAGACACCCACCAGAAAAAGCACTAGCCCTGTGCCCAGTGTGTCTGCTGTTTTTAATTCTAAGTTTGGTGCTAACAGTTCAGGTAATCACAGAGCCCTGGAAATGCCAGGATCATTTCCCTGAATCTGTGTAACACCGGGGCTTATCTGGGTACTCCCCTCCTTCCCCTATCCTCACCCCCATAAATCACAGCCAAGGTCATTGCTGGCTTCCTGGGAAGGTGTGTCCCATCACCTGGGAAATGCCAGGAAGTTGCTGGGGTTTAGAACCTTTCCCCTGTAGGTCTAGCCTAATGCTTTCCTAACTCCACCTCCCTCCCAATCCCTGCACCTGGGGTGGGCGGGACAAGAGAGTTAACTAAAAGTATCTCTGGGAGGAGAAGGGTAACATACTAAGTTGTTATCAGGCTTTAAATGTGAATTTCAGATCCTTTCTCTAAAATGGCTTTTGTAGTTGGGGGAAAGAGGAAGCCTGTGATTGTGTGTGTGTGTGTGTGTGTGTGTGTGTGAGGGGGGGAGAGAGAGAGAGAGAGAGAGAGAGAGAGAGAGAGAGAGAGAGAGAGAGAGAGAGAGAGAGAATTCAGAGGGAACGGAAACGGACTTGGAATCAGAACCCAGAAAACCTCTGAAGTTCCTGCATAGGTGTTTTAATCCAGCTACTGATTAATTTCATGTCTTGAAAGTTACACTAAGGATGGATTATTTCCCCCAGAGTGGAATTTATGCAGAGACCTGTCAGAAATAAATGAAACAACAGCTCTCCTCATGACCTATTCTTGCTACCTCCTAGACTTGGGGGAGGTAGAGGGCAGCAGAGGGTCCCCAGCCAGTAAGAGAGTCAGGGTAACAGTTCTCTCCACTCCAGGCAGGGTCTGTTGCCCACCAGAGGCCAAGGGAGTGTGGGGAGGAGAGGGTGTCAATTAGCAGTTAGAGGGGCCCTGAGAAGCATGGATTCAGTTGGGCTTGTTTAGGGAGGTGACAGCAATTGCACCCAAGGGTTCCAGCTGGTGCAGCAACAGAATCCAAACTGAGTCCCTATCCTTTCATGTCAGCGTGCCCAGAGGGGAGGACAAGAGGCGTCTTTCTTACAGGGCTAACTGGGCTTTGTGAGAGGCAGCTCACCACACCTCTCTAATCATAGCTCCAACATCCAGGCACCTCTTGTAACGTATTATTACTGTTTGTCCCCCAGTTCAAATTAAGGTACTTTAACAGAGTATGTCATGATTATAACTTGTGAGCTACCAGCTTCAAGAGGATAGCCGGGTCACTTAAGGCGAAAGCCTTTTTGCAAGATGTATTAGTCTCCCAGGGCTGCCAAAACAGATGACCACAAACTGAGTGGTTTTAGTCTCTCATAGTTTATTCTCTCAGTTGTCACTGGCAAATAAATTCTCCCATTCAGTGGGTTGTCCTTTCACTTTGTTGATGGCTTCCTCTGCTGTGCAAAAGCTTTTTAATTTGCTGTAATCCCATTTGTTTATTTTTTATTCTGTTTCCCTTGTCTGAGGTGATATATCAGAGAAAATGTCACTAAGAGAAATGTCTGACACTTTACTGCCTATGTTTTCTTCTAGGAGTCTTATGGTTTTGAGTCTTACATTTAAGTTCTTTGCCCATTTTGAGTTTATTCTTATATATGCTGTAAGAAGGTCTAGTTTCATTTTTTTGCATGTATCTGTCCAATTTTCCCAACACCATTTATTGAATAGATAGTCTCTACCCCATTGTATGTTCTTGCCTCCTTTGTCAAATACTAATTTACCAAATAGGAATGGGTTTATTTCTGGGCTCTATTCTGCTCCACTGACATATATATATATGTGTGTGTGTGTGTGTGTGTGTGTGTGTGTGTGTTTGTTTGTTTATTTGTTTATTTATTTATTTATTGGTGTTTTTATGCCAGTACCATGCTGTTTTGATTACTATGACCTCTCAGTATAGTTTGATATCAGGTGGTGCTATTCCTCCAACTTTGGAGGTAAAAGACCTGTACTTGGAAAACTGTAAGACACTGAAGAAAGAAATGGAAGAAGATACAAATGAGTGGAAGTGCACACAGTGCTCAAGGGCAGGAAGGGTTATTTATATTCCCCCCACGAAGCTTCAGTGTTGATAGGAACAGGGTGCAGGAGGGAGAAAGAAGAGGCACAAACGGCATCGGGAAGAGGTGGGCCCTGGATAAATGTAGGTTGACTTATAAGAGGATTTCAACCATTGACCACTGCTTGATGATATTTATAATTATTTGTTTCTTGTCCTTTAGGTTCTACCTCAAGATCTTTGAAGACTACCCCAAATTTCGGAAAGCCCTCATTCCATTTGTCTTTTAAGGAAACCAAATTAAAAAAAACTAATGAAGTTCCCACAATGCTGTTGAAAATCACCATGCTGCTTAACCTTTAACCTTTGAAGTTCACATGTATATGATATAATAGCATATATATACATATATATACATATATATATACGATATGGTTAACAGTAGGCCTTTTGTGCTCTTCCATCTGGCCTAGAGAGTCTGAGTGATACCCCTACCAGGGGTCTCTATCTTGATCTCCTGTTGAAGCTTCAACAAGGCCCTTAGCTGTTCTTCCTGGAAAGTGCAAAGCTTCCCTAGGTATTTTTCTTTGTGTGATCCCAGTATGCGTGGCTTTTTATCTGCTCTTTGTCAATGTAAGAGAGCTCTGTAGTTAAGAAAGTTTTGGGTTGAGGGCAGTGTTTATAGAATTAAAGATACATATTCTATACTCATACAGATTAGCAGAGATTTCCATTCTGAATCTGCACAGCCCCAGAGCAAATCTGCCAAGTGAAAACTGTCACATATTCCTTTTCCTTAGTTAGTTATGAAAGATGTGAAGAGATTAGGCAGACTTTTCACAGGAGCTCTCTCTTCCTGTTGCTGTTTTGAATTCATGCAGAGTCTTAGTGCCTCTGTCTTCCTGAAGATTCCATAACCCCCATTAGAGGTATCAGAGCCCAACCCAGAGAACTGGTGTGGGTTTGACTGAAGGTTTTAATGATCACAAAGAAAAAGACATGACAGTGGATGGCTACTGAGAGAGTCAAGAAGCAAACTCCCCGTCCTTGGAAACAGGTGGAAATATCCGAACAGCAAGCGAGTGTGAAATAAGGAGATGACTCACATCAGCTGCTGCTTGACCCAGCAAGGAGTCTACGGTGACAGTGGAGCAGGTCGGAAGAACCCAGCAACTGTCCTCCTCTGAATTTCTTCCCCACAGCTCCCAGGATCTGGTTAAGAAGGTGCGTCTTGAACATCAGCCCTCAAGGGACCCCAGAACAGAAGCTGAGAGCTGCAACTGGAGGGAGGAATTGGGATACAAAGCCCGTTTTTGTTTGTTTGTTTGTTTTTCGGCTCAGTGACTTACATATAGTTTGTCTTTCTTTCTTTCTTTCTTTCTTTCTTTTTTTATTTTTACATTCAATGTTTCTAAAATTTAAAAATGAGGAGGTTTCTACATTCTAGTTTCTTTTAAAAAGTTGGAGGATCTGGGCTCATGGAGCCTAAGAACCGGGACTAATCAGCTAGTTCTCATTAGAATCAGCAGCCTCTGTGGAGGGGTAGCCCTAGCCTGGGTGCTGAGACGGTTGGCTCTGGGAGGAAGGGGCTGAAAACTTGTAATCAGAATGTTTGAAGGTACTTGTGTCCTCTGACCTAGACCTGTAGCAATCACTGGTCCTAGTGATTGAGCAAGCTCTTTTGAGAAATGAGCACCAGTGTTCGAGGATGCTGTAGATTACTGAAAATTACGAATTGTAATCATGTAAATACATGTTTTTGCTGTTCATTAAATACCTTCTGAATCATGGATGTTAAATAACTTTGTTTGAATTAAAAGACCCTTGGACTTAATGAAGATTTTTATAAGGTATTCAGCTGTGTTTTTTCCCGTTTTTGTTTTTAAATGGTTTTTTGGTGTGTTTTTTAGTGTCGCTTCTTCCCTCTTCATTTTGCCAACTTGAAATTAGAGGCTTTGAGCTGAAACTAGAAAGAAGAATGACTTACAGAGCTCCTCCACTACAGTTCAGAACTCTAAGGAGGAGTGATAAAGACGCAGGGGACTGTGCTAAGGCAGACGCCACCCCTAGTGTTCAGGAATACACAGAGCTGGGGAGACACTCCTTGAACCTAAAAGGGTAGCTGGGGCTCTGTGAAATAAGACTTCCCGTATTCTCTGTGACGCTGAAAACAGCCTTTCCTAAATCCTTTATCTTACAGCCATTTTAGGAAGCATCCACACCAGTCCTTGCCATGTAGCAGGTGCACAATAAATGGCAGTGTTATTTGCCCCATCCTTGTAATGTCAAGATCTGAAGCACACTTTAGGCATCAGCTAGTTCCACCCCTTCATATTATAGATGGAGACAGTGAGAGCCTCAGCGGTAAAATGCCTCCAAGGTCCCATAGCCAGTCAGAGCAGCCGTCCAATCGTGTACTTTTAAGGATCAGAAGTCTTTTTTCTTCTTAGGGAACAGTAGGCTTTCAGAGAGAGGCTAGTAGAGCCTACACAGATGGGTGTGAATTGAAGGCCTGAACTCAGTTTTCACTCAACAATCATTTATTGAGTACTTGTGATTTAAAAAAATGGGTGGGAGAATATTGTTGAATTAGATATAATTCTTGCGCTTTAGGGGTTTTCATTTGGGTTCTGAAGAACTCATGCTGGTGAAAATCAGCCAGAGCTGCAGGGTTGTGCCACAGTTCAGATCCCCACCGCTGGCCATGGCCACTGAGTGGAACCTGTGTGCCTCCCTCCGTGGGGAGGATCGGGCTGATGCCTTATCATGAACCTGTTTGATAAAATGAAGGTGTAGCAGAGATGACATTTCCAGTTCACTTTGGAAAAGGTTTTAAGTCACACTTCCCCCTTCTCCCCCATATAATAAGCAACATTAGTGCCACTGTGTTCTGAAGGAGGAAAGATCTCTAATGAGAAACTTGCAATTAAACAGTGATCTACGTGGTTTAAACCCTTTTAGGAACAAATAAATACACCCATGGTTTCACTGCCCTGTAGCGGTGCAATAGCCATCCTGACTTCGTGGGGACCTCATGGCCATCTCACCAAGAAGCAAGGGAGAAAGCTCTCGGTACGTGAAGGAATGGACTCGTGAAGAGAAGGGATTAAGCAAAGAGAAAAACCTCATAGACGACAGTATGGTGATTACGAGAGGAGGAAGGAGGGAGGTATAGAGGGTAAAGGGGGGATTGATGGTGATGGAAGGAGACTTGACTTGGGGTGGTGAACACACAATACAATATATACATGATGTATTTTAGACTTGTACACCTGAAACCTATATAGTAATTTTATTAATCAATGTCACCCCAGTAAATTTAATTAGAAAAAGAGTCATTTCCTTTCTTGCCTGGACCTTTAATTCTCTAATAGGCTGTGAGCTGAGATCTGGGCAAGGCAAATAAGCAGGGTAACACTAAAGTAAAGTAAAACCTTCTAGAGAGGGCTGTTGATTGTTTTATAGCCTCCACACCATCCCATGATAAAAGGAGAGGCATGGTGCCAGGTGGTGATGTGGGCGCTTGGACGCTTTAATAGCCATTGAGTGCATTTAATGCCTAAGAAAGAGATTTCTCATTCTCTCTATAAGTCCACTGAGCTGTGACCTTGAAAGGTTCTATATTATTTGTATTGTTTCTCATTTCTTCCCACCACCACAGCTTGGGAATTGGATGAATGAAATACATTGTTGGGGAAGGTTAAAGTGTGTACTAAGCTGCATTGGTTCCTTTTGTCCCAGCCTTCTTGGGTCCAGGGTTTGGCTTTGCTCAGTAGACTCAGGGTCTGGGTGGAGTATATCCAGTACCCTCTCTCAGGCACAGAGAATAAGCTCTTCTTCCAGCTCCTTTTTCATAAGGGAGGAAGCTGAGTTTCTTTAAACGCCAGCCAGATGGCTGTGCCGCACAATAACAACTTAATTGTATTTATGTCCTCTCACCTCGTAAAGATGGTTTTAAGTCTCTGTGGCCGTGACACAAGTGAGGAGGTGGTGAAGGAATTGTTCTGTGACGTGTGTGCTGTGTTCCAAGTTCAGTGCGGCCAGTGGGGAGATGAGAGCACCCAGAGGACTAGCATCCACCAGGGTTTCCCTTCTCATGGCCGGTGTCTTCCTTTACTCCAGAGGCCCATAGAAAAGGACGCTTCCTTATAGGGGTACATTTTTCCCCAGCATTGACAAGAAAACAAATACTGTAAGATCAATTCCATTTCAGTAATTAATTCATTAGTGCATCAATACATTAATTCAGTTTGTGAATTAAATTGTTAAAGTAAGATTATTTATATATATAGATTTTATATATATATATAGAGAGAGATGTAAACTTGAATGTAAATGTGTTAAGGATGCATATTGTATAAATTCTAGAGCAACAATTAAAAAATGATATAACTAATAACTAATAATGGAAAAGAAAAGGAATCATAAAAATACTACTCATTAATCCTCAAATAATGCAGGGAAAGCAGAAGAAATGAACAAAGTTGAAAATAGTGAGATGGTAAATGTAAATCCAACCATATCAGTTATTACATGAGATGTAAATGGTATAAGCATTCCAATGAAAAGGCAGACATTTTCAGACTAGATAAAAAAGCAAGATCCAACTTTATGCTATATACAAGAAATATGCTATAAATACAAACACTCATGTTAAAAGTAAGTGGATGGAAAAAGATATACTACAAAAACATTAAATTTAAAAAGGTCTGAGAGGCTATATTAACATCAGACAAAATAGATTTTAGAGCAAGGAATATAAGTGATAAAGAGATATGTTGCATTATGATAAAGAAGCCAGTTCTCAAGAAAGCAAACCTAAATTTGTATGCACCAAATAACAGAGCTTCAAAATATATAAGGCAAAAGCTTATATACCTGACAGGAGAAATGAATTCATAATTGTAGTCGAATTTCAATACTCCTCTCTGTGAATATTATCCATACACTTTCAAATAACCTATATATCAAAGAAATCATAAGATAAATTAGAAAATATTTTGAGTCAAATGAAAATAAATAACACAACTGGTCACGATGTAGTCATCAGGACTGTATTTACAACTAAGATACCAGAAAAATATATGAAACAGTGCATGACAGTGGCTTCTAAGCAAAGGGAAATAAGCAACATGAGCCCACAGCACAGGAATGGGAAACCCAAACAGAGCTGATGGTCAGCCTGAGTTGATAAGACTAGAGTTGAAGATTTGAGGAAGCCTGGAAAGCTAGAATGCTGAGGGCAGAGATATCTGGAGGAGTCTGGGAAGTGTTCAGAGAGTCAGTCATATAAACTGGGCCCTTATTATGTCCATTATAATGTTAGAGATGAATTTTAAAGATGGACAAAACTCCCAATATATTAAATTGATAATTTGGGATAGAAATTTTAAAAGATTAAATCAAGCCCCCAAAGCCTTCTATATAGTAGTCCTTTGGACTCTGGGGACTTTGTCTAATCCTTATCTGGTCTTTTCAATTCATCTGATGTCTACCCTTCCTGCAATAGAGGCATTCCTTTTCCCATATTTGTAGATGCTAGGAATTCTCTAACCCCCCACCCCCCACTTGGCTACTAGCAGAATTCCTAGCAGATCATAATGTAGCTGAAATGCCACCACACTTTGTCAACAGTTCTAATGCACACTCCTCTTCATTCCAAGAGCCTTAGAAACAGGTTAAGTAAAAGCAGATTTTTTTCTGTCCTGTGCCAGTTTAATAAATTCTTTATTTTTTTAGCCTATAAGAATGGTAGGAAAAAACTAGATGCCTGGTGATCTTTGAAAACAAGTCACATCGAACTTTTCATTCATTACGCAAACCTGTATTGAGATAATTGGCTAGCCAAATGTAGGCGAATGAATGTGAGCCTCTATCTCACACAATAAACAAAAATTAAAGTGAATCATAAAGCTAAACATAAGGGCTAAAATTATAAAACCTGTAGAGGCAAACATAGAAACAAATCTTTGTGGTGTTTGGTTAAGCAGTGATTTCTTAAGATATGACGCCAAAAGCACAAGCAATAAAAGAAAGATTGGCAGGTTGTACTTTATAAAAACTGAAAACTTTGTACTGCAAAGGACACCACCAAAAAAGTAAAACGACATTCCACAGACTTTGAGAAAATATTTACAAGTCATATATCTGATAAGGGACTTATATCCAGATATATAAAGAACTCTTACAACTCAATAAGAAGACAACCCAATTAAAAACTGACAAAGGATTTGAATAGACATTTCTTCAAATATTATACACAAATGTCCAATAAGGACATAAAAAGATACTCAACATCTTTAATCATTAAGGAAATGCAAATCAAAACCTCCATGGGCCCAGCCGGTGTGGCTCAGAGGTTGAGCATCGACCTAGGATCCAGGAGG